CCTTAAAATCTGTTAAAAGTCCAACAAGCCTGCAGTAATGAGTTTAAATGCAAAAAACACGTACCTCTCCCAGTGGAGTTTTTGGCGGATGGGCTTTATACATAATGAATCATTTAGAGTTAGGTGAACGTGGGCACTGGTACGGAATGACCTAAATACAAGTTGGGCTTGTGCACATTAAACATAATGTCGATATGTCGCAGTGCTTTACACAAAAATACATGGATTATCCAAATTAAAAAAAAATGTTTTATTAGAGTTTTAGATTACAGGAATCGATGCCAAGATCTATATAACATTTAAGACTTTAAACAATGCTGTTATTTATTGAAAAACAGACCATTAAAGCAGGAAAAGGTTGAAAATGCGAGTTAATCAGCAAATTGCAGCCCAGACTAGTTGATAATTTTTACATAGAATTACAGTGATACAGCACGGAAACGTGGCTTACGGCCCAACAATTCTGGGCCAGGAGAAATATATATATCTATATTATATATATATATATATATAGCAGGACCAAATTCTGTTCCTCAGTGCAAATTAGCTGCACCCTTGGAATTCAGTTCCTTTCTAACAGAGTCATCTCACTCACAAGCTAGAAGCATGATTGGAATATGAGCAATGGAAATATCACACTGTAGGGGCCGCTTTAAGGTTGCGATTAGTTTCTCAGTGAGTTGTTCCTCATAAACCTATTTATTAAGGCCAATCACCTAACCATGTTGTGGCCCATCTGGTTTCGCCACGACTCATTCCATCATGACAGTGCCCTGCTCCACTTGTCCCAGCTATTCACTTAACTCCTCACTTCATTAAAAAATGGTTCAGGAAAAAAACAGAAGAGAACTGAAGGTGCGATGTTCCTTTAGTTTATAGTATTAAGAACAATATCAGCAAACTGACCAGTTCTTGAAAAGTGAAAATGGTTTGAATCTTGTCAGGAAGGCTGACTGAGGATAGCACATTGAACTCATTTTAAAAAAAAACAGTTTGATGCTAATGATGGGAGGATAGGAGGATGGTATTCAGGAAGGATGAGATCAGATGGATTGAAGGGCATTTTTTTTTAATCTTGTGAACCCTAGAACCATAGAATTTTACAACACAGAAGGCTTTTTGACCCGCCCATTCCTGAACTCCTGCAAATGATTTCCTCTCTAGATAACTATCTGAAGATCCTAGATTCTATAAATATAAAGTGATCGTGTTTTAGTTGCACTTCCACAGATGTGATGTACAGTGACACGAACTGAGAGGTGGGCGTACTGAAGTGTTATAAAGAGAGACAGAAGCTCATAAATAAAACCTGACATTTATTTTAAAATTAGATCTGCCAAGCCAAACAGAATTTATTTCCTCACGGCCTTATTTAAATAATGGAAAATAAGTACATTGCATCATGCAGCACAACATTTAATGCATCATTATGCAAGTTGACTGTCTGTTGCTTTGTGTGTCAGCCTGGCTGAGTTGGTAGCACTATCTTTTCAAGCCCCATGTCAGAAATTTGAACCCACAAGTCTAGACTGACATTCTAATGAATAATAATATTAATCCTTGCATTTGGTATAGCGCCTTATTACATTTTTGAGACGTCTCAAAGCGCTTCACAGAATATACTGTAAAGTGAATTGACTGTATATTTTGTGGGTGAAATAAAGTGCTGGGGTAATGCTGCATTGATGGAGATTCCATTCTTCAAGCGAGACATTAAACGTAAGACCTTAGACTGCCTGATCAGATGGACTTTAAAGATCCTGTGGCCCTATTCAAAAAGAGAAGGGAGTTTCTCCTGGTGTCTTGGCTACCAATCCTCCAGATAAAATTGGTCATTCACTTTGTGGCTGCTGTAGCACATTGCTGTGTGAAAATTGACTGCCATGTTTGCCTACAAAATACAGTCACTACAATTTACAGTAAGTCCTGTGAAGTGCTTTGAGGTGTCCTCCTGACATGTTTAAGAGCTCACTGCAGATAGTAATGTTCAATGCAGATGTTAGCCAGTCAGGAGAGACAAAAAACAGGATGTGTAGAATTATATAGACTGTACAGCACGGAAACAGGTTATTTAGCCCAACCGTGCCAATGTTTATATGCCACATGAGCCTGTACTTCTCATGATCCACTATCAATAATAATAATAATAATAATCCTTGCATTTGATATAGCGTTTTTCACGTCAGGAGGACGTCCCAAAGCGCTTCACAGAACACACTGTAAAGTGAATTGACTGTATATTTGTGGGCGAACGCGGCAGCCAATTGCGCAGAGCAATGTCCCACAAACAGTCGTAGATTGAAAATGACCGATTTTATTATTGTTTTTGGAGGGATTATTATTAGGCTCTGTGTGGAGTAAGGAAACTTGCCCAAGGTTTCGCCCTCTGCCTGGAATTGAACTCAGGTCACTCGCTTGCAAAGCGAGTGCTCTAACCACTGAGCTACAGGACTCCACTCCATCAAATACCCTTCTATTTCCTTCTCCCTCATGTGTGCACCAAGTTTCCTCTTAAATATGTCGACAATTTCTGCTTTAACCAGTGTTCAGAGAGAGGGAATAGAGAAGCATAGATGAGGGGAAAAGGAGCTGTGGTTGGGGGCTTATGGGATGTACTGTATAAACAGCAGTACACTAGTGTTTAGCCAAATGGTCTGTATCAGGGTTGTATCACTATGTAGTGAGTCCTACGTTGTCACCGTCCTAATATCCTCATTCAATTGGATATTGCCTTCCGTGCCTGTTCTAACTCGGTTACTCGGCACTGAGGTCAGTTTTGTGTTACTGTGTTGTTATCAATGCTGTATAATATATATCACTTTCACAAGCCTCAGCGTGTTGAATATGTACCAATCGAGGCACTTACACAGATGACAATGGAGCAGTTATTAATTTATGTTCCTTCTGGTGAAGGAAACCAGCTATCCATCCAAGATTGGTTTCACCTATGCAAAGGAACACGGGCAACGAGAGCGGAACAATGATGGATTGTATGACAACCAGAAAGGGATGTAATAAAAGAGGAATGCAGTGCACTGATTACTATCTATGCATAAAATATGCACACAAGTTACTGCCAGGGAAATCTTACAGGTAATGGTGCTACCTTGTTAGAAATGCCGTCCATCTTTTCAATGAGACATTAAACAGAGCTCTTATTCACCTGTTCAGATGGATGTTAAAGATCCCATTCGCACTATTCAAAAAGAGAAGGGAGTTTCTCCCAGTATGCTGGGCAACAATTGTCCAGATAAAATTGGTCATTCACTTCATGGCCGTTTCATGGGATATTGAGTGTGCAAATTGCCTGTTGGGGTTGCCTACAAAATATACAGTCTGACTGTACTTTGCAGTAAAATTCTGTGAGAATTTTCAACAGCATAATAAAGTGCCATAACATATGCATGGATTATTATTATCCAACATCATCAGTCTCCAGGTTGTTAACACTGATTGGTGATTTCCTAAAGAGCTACAAACACGCAAATTGTCTAGAGTACAATTTGTAAGGATCAGCAATTTCTACGATCGTATAAAAATATTAATATCAAAAGGCAATAACAATAATCCTTGCATTTGATATAGTGCCTTATCACGTTGTTGAGACCTCTCAAAGCACTTCACAGAATATCCTGCAAAGTGACCGTATATTTTGTGGGCGAAACAAGGCAGCCAATTGCGCACAATAATGTCCTGGGAAAAGGGATCCATGAATCGACTAATAACCAAGTTCCTATTCAATGCTAGGTAAACAGAGGCGTGTGGAGTAAGGAAAATTGCGTTAGGTTTTGCCCTGCTCACTAATCATACCCGGTCATCTTGCTTGCAAGGCAAGTGCTCTAACTGATACTCTATAGGGCTCCACCAGTCAAATGAGCTTTCTAAAGTTAATAGAAATCTTTAATATCGAATATATTCTGTGTTGCTTCTGTTCATTTTATCTTCTCAACTATGCACCAGCCCTGTGAACGTAAAAAAATGGACTGTATTCAGAGCCAGGTGATGCCCCCAAGTGGCTGGATTTTACTGGAAGTGCTGTACACAAAACATTACTGTGTAATGACAGTAGAAACCCAGCAGGTGGAACCAGCATTCTGAGCTTGTGTATTATCAAGACATCTCAGCCTTTTCTGCCTCCATCACATTATTTTGTTTCCCAATTACTGTTGCCCAGTGGTTTGTGTGTGTTTGAGCAGTGGCCAGATTGTCCCACTGTTGCTGAGACAGTCAGCCATTCCTGATAGTACCCCTATGGAACAATATTTTAAGATAATCTTCAGAAGGGGGATGATGAGAATTTTTTTTTAACGGTGTTACGGTCTGGAATGCACTGCCTGAAAGAGTGGTGGAAGCAGATTCAATAATGACTTTCAAAAGGGAATTGGATAGATAATAAAAAGGGAAAATCTGCAGGGCTATGGGGAAAGCGGGCGAGTGGGACTAGTTGATAGCTCTTTCAAAGAGGCACGATGGGCCGAATGGCCTCCTCCTTGGAATCATAGAATCATACAGAAGGAGGCCATTCAGACCACTGTGCCCAGGCCGGCTCTTTGAAAGAGTAATCCAAATTAATCCTACTCCCCGATCTCTCCCCATAGCCCAGCAAATTTGTCTCCCTAAATATCTATGATTCGATAAGGAAATTCTAAATTCGGAGTCAACACAAAGGAGGGCAATGTGGGGACTATTCTGATGTTACAATCCCAATCAGATCTTCAGAGAACAGCCAGGAAGGTGCACAAGTAGAAAATAAACTGTCTGAGCAGTAGTATTGCCATGGTTACTGTGCATCCCAACCTGTGCAGTGTAACCATGGCACATCCCACAGCACCAGAGACTGCATAGACTTCAATGGGAATGAACTTACTAGATAGCAGTTAGAAATATAAAACAAAGAACTTGATTTTAAATGGCCTTATCACGCTGCTGTATGTGATGGTACGCAGCTTTCTGTGGCTGCCTAACGTATGTTTAGAGGTGGAAGTTTAGAGAGGACTGACCTTGGCTTCGGGGTCACTGTTGATGGTACAGGAATCATCTTCCTCAGCTTGCAGTGGGGTTCTATGAAGATAAAGCAAGAGTCTGTATTTCATCAGGAAAAGATTGCAGAACAAACAAAAAGATGGGACTGGATTGAAAACTGTTCAATATTGAACTGCATTAGTGTTTACCTCAGTTTCAGAGAAGCGTAGCGAAGTGTTGCTCCCTCAAACTCCTTCAGACTGGGGTCCGGGTTCTCTGTAGCAGCATGCAGGTCCTGCAACAACACAATTGCCACTTAGGTTGAAGAAACATTCAAGTCATATTTCTTAAAAGATTCAAACTATCACCAGTGGGAAGCAGGGTGCTTGGATGATGACGAATGTCACTGTTGTGACATTCCTCATCTTTGGATGAAACATTAAGGTGGCTGAGCAATCTGGGATGCCACCCTATGCAAGAGGCGTTATATAAATGCAAGTTGTTGTTGTAGGAAAAGAGGTTTGGGAGAGGGGATTAGGTAGGGTAAAAGTTGGGGGTTCAAGCCTCAAATCAAGACTTTGGGATCTCTCAGCGGGGTACCTCAAAGAGAGCGTCTCTCTGCAGAGAGGTTTAAACAGCTCCTACTGGCTCATCCTCACCGAAATGAAGTCTGCTTCCCGTGGAATGGAAAGATCTGCCTTCCCTTTCGCCCTTTATACAATCTCGAAATCCCAGGATGCTCTTCAATGAATACCAGGATTTGGGGAGCACCATTTCCAAACGGTTCTTGGGATTTAAATTCCTGGGATTGAGTGCGCAACCCTTACAGCGATGTCCCACAAACAGCATGAAGTGATGGACTAGTTTTATCTGGTGGATTTTTGGCCAGGACAATGGAAGAAACTCTTTGCTCTTCTAGAACAGTGATGATACGGGATCTTTAACAACCAGACAAAACCTCAGGTCAATGTCATACAAAGCACAGTACCTCAGACAGAGAGGCAAAGCCTCAGCATTACACTGAAGTGTCATCCTAGACTATGAGATGAAGTCCCAACGTGAGGTTTGAACCCACAATCTTCTGACTCAGAAGTGAGAGTCAGGCTGACAACCTGTCTACTACTTTGGATGAGTGTGTTATAGCCACATGCTCATACTTTACATTGAGCCATTACCCACTGCCACAAATGTTGAGTCTTTAAACCTACAATTCCATTTCTTCACTAGCTTTGATTTTCAGAACTGGTCATAAGGAGACTCTAGTGGGCCATTAGAACACATAAAACACTCAGCTGTCAACTCCAACTGTGGAATAACACTAAGGTATCAATACCAACGGTTTGCAAGCAATCCCTGTTGAGCCCTTCCAGCAAAACCAGTTCATCGTAAGCTCACAGCACAAAAGGAGGCATTCGGCTCACTGTGTCTATGCTCGTGCAAGCTCTCTCATGTGATCTATCTGGCCCATGCTATTCCTCAGTTTAATATTATTTCAATTAATATTATTATTTTTCATCAAGCATGTGTCTGATTCCCTTTTAATGCTGTTATGGACTCATCTTCAATAGGCCATTATGGAGAAGCATTCCGCAGTTTAGCATAGTTAACATTAAAAAATTCTTCAAATCAACCTATTTTTTCTTCTGGTGATAATTCAATTGGTGCTTTGAGAGTCCTCCCAACATGAAAGACTTTATACAAATATAATTTGTTGCTGTTGTTGTTGTTACTACTCAATGATTAGTGGAAATAGTCTCTCTCTATTTATCCTGATCAAAACTATTCAGAATCTTATGAACTTCATTAAGAAATCTAATTGAGTGGTTCCATGCTGGGCAAAGTAGCCCAGCAACTGCCTTCATAACATATGTTGAATGTTTAAATTACAGACAGAAATTGACTGGGAAAAACACATCTGAAATGTTTTTTTTCCCGACACTGGATGACATCTCACTGCATTCATGAAACAATTCCAAAAAAATCCGACATTGATTTGAAGTAAATACAGTACTTTGGAATGTTTTCTTTCCTTAGAAATAATATCCTTTTGATTATGCATCAGACTGTACTTGCCTTCTACCCAGTACGTGCATTCGAATAAATGCAGATATTAAATGGGATTGGCTTGATTTATGATATGCTATTTGGTTAATACAATATTTCACAAAATACTTGCCTTCCAAATGTCACTATTAATCTTTCCACCATTCAGCACAGCAAAGTCAGTCCACGGTTTCTGGATACATAATTATTCATGGACATAGAGACATATCCAGAGATGTGAAAGAAACACAAGACACTGCTGTTAGCACACTGGACTAATTAGTGAGACAACATTGTACAGTTTCCAAATTCTACAGCAAACATATTACAAACTACTTACTCTCTAAAAAGTTTGTGGCTGAGGTTTCCATCAGAGTATGACACAATCTAATGCAACAAGGGTTAATGCTGCTGGAGAAGAGCTTGCATTTCTGTTTGTAATATTTTATCTGGTAGCAGAGCTGAGCAATTCTAGGTCACACAGCATGTGTCAGCAATAATCTGAAACTTCCTCTCCTTTTCCCCTCACACATCTTTATACAAACACTGAATTGAGGTCTGTTTAATCTGAGGAACACTCACAGTTCCTGCAAGTAGAACAACACCGATGTCTTGAATGTATACTAGAAATAGGTTATTGGGGCAGCCCCAGTGGTGAAGTAGCCAGAGCTACAGCTTACAGTCCAAGAGCTCACAGTTTTGAATTCTTGTCCATGCTGAGTTTGCTGGTCTAACTAAGCTGAAGCTGTGTGGAGAGGATAAATTGGTCCCTGCCTTCCCCTAGAGAAGGGTAAACCAGCCAGGATCTCAGTTGCTGGTGTTGGTTTTGCGTGTGTATGGCAGTCAGGTGAGGCGAGGTCAGGCTCATCTAAAGTATCCACTACAGTGGAATGACTGACCAATCCCCAACTCTGCATAAAAATCAGCCATTTGGATGGAGCACCAGAAAGCAACCAGTGACTGTGGAACTACCCCCAGATTGAGGAGACCAGAGAGGCAACATAAACAGTATAGGTAGCACAGTAATGCAAGCTCAGGTACACCACACTGACATTGCTTAATAATAAACCCATCATTCATCAAGTTCAGCCCAGACCCTGGGACACTTGGACATCAACACTGTATACAGAGAGCCCCGATTCCCACAAACAGAGAACATTTAACTTTATAATTTGAAAGATATTTTTGGATTCGAGTTGGGCCTTTCAACATTGATATAAGAAGCAGTTTACACTTCGTCACTAAAAGCAAAATGAATAGGAAATCAGTTACTCTGAGGGAGCAAAAAAGGAGGGCAGGAAGTTGGGAAGGACAGAAGGCAGGAAGGAGTGGAGGGAAGGAGGAGTGGAGGGAGGGAAGGAGGGAGGGAGGAAAAGGAAAGCTGAATTTCCCTGTACCATCCTAGCTGAGGAGCAATAGAAGCAGAGTGGTAAGTACCCACTCTTACCCAGGACACCTTATGCAATGCACAAGCCCAAGGATGGTTGAGAGAGAGAAAGGAAAGATTAATTATCTTAATGCAATGTAGCAAGAACTCGCAGGTGCTCACAGAGAATGTACACATTATGATTAGGAAACACTAACCAAATGAGATTTCAAATCAAACATTCAGAAGGATTTACCTCACTTTCTGGAGTGGGAGATGGGGTGATGGAGCTCAGTGAGCCCTTTCTTTCCTCCAGGACCTGTGCTGTGGGAGAGATGGGGCGTTCCCACTGAGTGGTGCCTGTTGGTATGTGCCAGTAATAGGTGCCGGCAACATCGTTGATTTTCTTCCATCCTGGCGGGAGGTCTGGGTCAGTCTGAAAGGATTGGTCGCTCCATATGTCTGCTGAGAAACAGAATTTCAAAAAATATTAAAACAGATGCAAAGTATTGGTTTGATTCCTTCATGCACCAGATAGAAGAGGCTGAAGCTTTGTAGAACAGTTAGTTAATGGGGCCTGGGCTTGAATGCAGCTGATTATTACATTTGGTATAGTGCCTTTCATGTCAGGAGGTCATCCCAACGCTTCACAGGATACACTATATAGTACAGTGTCTGTATTTTACGGGCAAATGCAGCAGCCAATTTTGCGGTCGGTAACGCCCCATAAACAGCCACATTACCACCTCTTCTTAGATGGGCACCAAAGATTTTATAAGTCTGGGAAGAATCAGCTGGCTTTCAAGCAGGTACAAAGCCACAGTTAAAGACAAAAGCTCTCAATAAATCAGCTGGAAATTCTTCCATCAAAAAATGTTAAGATGCAAAAACATTAAGATGAGATAAAATGTCATAAATAAATAAGAAGTGTAAATATTGTGATTTCTAAACCCCTGAACTGATATAAACCTGGATAATAGTTGGAAAGACCATTTCTCATTTCGTACCTCATATGTTCCAACTCTATTTTGCCACAGAGTAGAGTAAAAATGGACTATTTTTACGAAATGCAAGGAATATCATTATTATTATTTATTGCAGTTACCTGTTAATAATTATAATAATCCTTGCATTTGACATAGCACCTTTCACGTCATCGAGATGTCTCAAAGCGCTTCACAAGATATACTATAAACCTTCTGACTCAGAGGCCATGATAAAATTAGTTATTAACTTCAAGGTTGTTTGTGGGACATTACTGTGCCAAATTCGCTGCTGCATTTGCTCACAAAAATAGTCACTCCACTTTACAATATACCCTGTGAAGCTCTTTGTGATATTCTCCCGACATGAAAGATGCTATACCAATGTAAGGATAAGTATATTATGACTATGTTCTTGCTTCAAGCACTGTTTTGATAGGGCATTCCACGACCTAATGACCTGCTGTAAATTTCTCTGAACCACTCCCCAAGTTGTTTGGTAATGTTCTTATATTTATACCCTCTGGTTACTGACTCATCAATGGGTGGATGTAGTATCATGGACTGGGAGTATGTCAGGAGTATGTCATACTGTGTACTCACCTGGTTGGAATAGTGTAGTCTAGTAGTCAGACTCCGAAATATGCACACATTGGAGTCTCACTGTCTATCTGGGTGCTGCCTGTCTCACATTCACTCCCTTTGTCCCCTAACTACCCAATGAGGTACCTAATGGGTTTAGAAGTCTCCCACACAAAAGCATTCACTACTCGACAATGATGTACATTTATTATCACATTTTCCGGAGTTACGTTAGTCACCCATGCTTAAAGTTACACCACAATTTTTCTCCTTCGCAACAAACACGCTGTCATAGGAACAGGAGACAAATATTTGTCCTATAGAAGCGAATCCTCCTTTTTATTAGATGATGGCAGCTCCTTATCTTCTTACCCTATTTCCTATTTTTTTCCAAGTACATCTCTGTCTTACACCTCAATTGATTCTACATCTATGGTCTATGAGGTATAGCATAACACATTCTCTCAACACTTTAGAATAAATATTTCATTTAATGCTAGGTGCATTGTCTTTGCTGAGGTCAAACACAAATGACCTCAGCAAAGACAGTACGCGTAGCATTGTCTACCTCTCGACCTACCTCTGCGACCTACGAATCCCTTTACCAATCGTCCCGTTCCTTCCGCTCCGCGGACACTGGCCTCTCCACGTCACCTGCCCCACCATTGGCCGGAGAACCTTCAGGCTTTCTGCCTCCACCTTCTGGAATTCCATCCCGGAGTCCCTTCACCTCGCCCCCTCCCTTGCCACCTTCAAAGCCTGTCTCAAAACCTTCCTCTTTGACTGTGCCTTCAGTCATCTACCCACACTCACCCCCTTTGCACTCCAACCCTCTGGATTTTAACCCCCAGCTCAGGTGCAGATTGATTGTCCAGCACCTTAGGATGTCCTCCCAATGTGAAAGGCACAATGTAAATGCAACAAATTGCAATTATATTGTGCCTTTCACATCGGGAGGGCCTTCAGTATAACCTTCAAAAGCATAAGCAGCGTAACTGAGAGCATTTTTATTTTAGGGGCTCAATTCCTTAATACTGTTTATTTTGGGGAGGGGCAAAATAAAGCAGAGTACCAATACTGAACTATGTTTCAACCAAAGCAGTCGTGCTTTGCGAGGGTTCAAATACATTTCGGGTGGGTCTGCGTCCTTGCTGTTGAAGCTTCCACTATTTTGAATGTGGCTACACTTCTAATAGACCACAACTGCACTTTCCCAGCCACCTGGAGCATGGACCCAATCTCCAAGCAGCTCTGGCTCAATCCTAGAACAGGCGTAGTATTGTTTCCAGTATTTGAACTGAACCAGAGGATCAAATGAGTCAGGATCTGGCAGGCAGGATTAGTGTATTGATTCGCACATTTAAGGGAAGTAAAATAAATTAAAAATACTTTTATTTTCCAAAAGTTAAAGCTGAAAAGTATCCTTTGAACATTTAAAAAAAATGCTGTTATTTCTTTGCTATTCTGGCCAAAAGCAGCAATATGAATCAATATGTTCCAGAATCTTTTCAAAGTATTTATTTTTCTGACAATTAAGCAAAATGAACTGTTTTGTTAATGCTGTCATGCTTTCACAAAACTACAAGTTATGTTAGTCTAATGTGAAACCAGGGCCAAAAAGAAGCACAAAGCTTATGGTTGAATTATAGTCACACTGATGTCCAATCTAAGTTAGGTGTCAGCCAGACTGTGTTGGTAACACTCTTGAGTCAGAAAACTGAATTCAAGCTTCACATCAGGACTTTGACCTCATGTAGTGCTGCATTTTGGATGACACATTAAACAAAAATCCCATCCACCTATACAGGTAGATGTTAAAGATCCCATGGCACTAATCAAAAAGAAAAGGGAATTTCAATCATTCACTTCATGGCTGTTTGTGGGATATTGCTGTGCACAGATTGGCTGCTGCGTTCACCTACGGAATGCGCAGTCACTACACTTTGCAGTAAATCTTGAGAAATGCTTTGAGATGTCCTCCTAACATGAAAAGCGTTATATCAAATGTGAGGATTATTATTTGTAGAATTATGTATGTGGACTTTAGCCTTGAACAGAGTAAATGCAGTATTAAATAGCTCAGTTGTTTTTTATTTGAACTTATCCACTCTATCCCCTCTTGAGTCTCCACATTAGCTGGTCATTCACCCCATTTGACCGCTCTGACGCACAACAGCTGTCAGTTTTGCCTACAAAAAACAATAAATACACTTGAAGATAATTACTTGTGAAGCACTTTGCGATATTTCAATATGATAAGGCACTGTAAAAATGTGAGTTCTTTCTTTGAACTTATGTATGCTGTTCACTTCATTGGCTTTCCCGGGTAATACATTCTATGTCTGTTAGCTGCCGTATGAACAATCCTGCCCAAATTACAAGCCGACCTCCGAGAGGACCAACATTCTCAACAGTGGAAACAAACATGTTCTGCATAGGAGGGAGCCCTTCTGCTCCTTGTGTTTGTGTCACTGCCACCTATTTTGCTAAATTGTCCTTTTATAATCTATCCCACTTTTTAGCTCTTTCCCTCTTCAAACTTATCATGCTTCTGAAAACCTCTGTAAGATCATATCACTACTTTTCCAGAGAGAGCAAAGTTTAGCCCTCTTTAAACCTTTCCTCATACCTTAGATTCCTGAGCGCTGGGATAATTCCATTTTGGTTTACATTGCACCCTACAAAAGGAAGTAATATCCTCCCCAAGGTCTGGAACCAATGCAACATGTAGCTCTCCAGAAATGTCTCCCCAGTGGTTTACAGTCATGGTATCAGTTCTAGTGATTTATATTTCCTGCTAATGCAATCTAGCACCTTACATTTCTTTCTCTTCATTATTTCCTCCAAAGATGGTTCCATACCATATATGGTTATCAGATTACTGGCTTTCGAACTTTCAGTTCACGTTCAGATTAAATCATTACTTGGCAGAATTGGCTGATAATTTGCTATGCTTGTTGAGTTCTGTATTGCGAAACCATCGACAGGCACTCACAGAAATGTGAGATCAAACCAAACAAGGCAGATGTGCGTTAGAGCCTAGTTAAACTGAGCAAAGGACAGCTAAGGCTGACAGCTCCTTGAGTTACACAACTGTATCCAGTTTAAATCGTTCACGTTAGCCGCTCCTCATTCCCAGTCTCAATGTCCTCATGAGTCACAAATATTTCAATGAATAGATCATCAGAGAACTTAAAAGCGTAATTTACTAAATTTGTTTTAATCACCCAAAACTGACAAAACAGACTTACTTGTTTGCTGGTTCTGGAGCAAGTAAACTATCCCTAGGCTGAGGGGAGGTAGGGTGGGGATGGAGAAAAGAGAGAGAACATACCCAACATGCTGCCTATATCTGGAGAATACAGAAGTGGATTGACAGATCCAAGGCATTATTTTTGTAAGTAGGATGTCTGACACATGTGGAGAAATGCGATCTGATACATTTTGGGAGGAAGAATGAGGAGAGGCAATATAAGCTGATGGTACAATCTTAAAGGGGGTGAAGGAACAGAGAGACCTGGGGGTTCATTTGTGGAGTCCTGTAGCTCAGTGATTAGAGCACTCGCTTTGCAAGCGAGAGACCTGAGTTCAATTCCAGACAGGGCGAAACCTTGGACAAGTTTCCTTACTCCACACACCTAATAATAATCCCTCCAAAACCAAAAACAATAATAAATTGGTCATTTTCAATCTACGACTGTTTGTGGGACATTGCTGTGCACAATTGGCTGCTGCGTTCGCCCACACAAAAAAATATACAGTCAATTCACTTTACAGTGTGTTCTGTGAAGCGTTTTGGGACGTCCTCCCGACGTGAAAAGCGCTATATCAAATGTAAGGATTATTATTATTATTATTATATAAGCAAATCTTTGAAGGTGGCAGGACAGGTAGATAGAG